GTTATTAAGCCCACCTCGGACCCAGACCAAATTGGGCTTAATAAGCGGCTGGACCTATTAACCATGGGCTAAATAACCGGCGACTACTGTATTATCGTTTAACTTATTGCGGAACAACCTGATTATCAAATTGTAGGTTTCTTATATTTCCCGAAAAATTAAACTGGTGGTTAGGAGGTCGTCTACCTCAACTTACCGTTCTGGAGTAAGATTTGGTATAGTCCGCGGCGCGAAGCGCCGCGCACATCTTCAATTTACATGCGGAACAGCTTACTCCCAGCGGCCGCGGGAAGCAAATTCGACTACGTTTTTTCACTTTACACCTACTTCGAAAAATTTCCTTCTCTGCCTGTCCTATTTCCCCACATCCCAATACTCTATAACCACCGTTTTTGCAAGACAAAATGCTCGGGGTAGTGGTATATGAGTGGGCCTACATAAGCTACTTTCACCGAGATGCAGATTTGCCAAAGCAATTCGTCCCTTGAGGAACGCCTTAGCGAACGCCTCTTTTAACGTCAACTTCAGGGAGGCAGATGGCCGGGCAGTCATCACGTCCAAGTCCAGCACGTGGGATGGAAGTTCCGCAGGTCACGACCCGCATGCCTGCCAAGCGTACAAGCGGGTAACTATCCTCGATAGGGGAGGGGGCGTTACTTCACCTACCGTATGGCGAGTGCTCCAAGAAACGTTCCGCAATTTGAAGAAGACCGGTAATCAGTAGTAAACTAACATTGAGTAGGGTTGCAATACTGTTTATCATGCAGTCCAATTTCAATTATTTTCAGTCATGACTCTGTGATAAGATTCCTTCTGACCGCTGCGAAAAAGTTGATTCTGTGAAAATATGGCTACTTAAATAGCATGCATTTCGTCATTGATTTTGACAGCCTTTATAAATTCCAATATATTTTATGGAAATCATGCGCGAAAAAAACCCTTTCTTGTACTTATTTGATAGCAAATTACGACTTCTTTAAATTTTATTCTTAGAGGAAGGGTCTCCTTCGGTCTAAAAAATTTCTAAATTGCCGAATGATTTTGAAACCTACTGACTGCTAGAATTGAATTCAATTTTTACAAACTGAATGCTGTGTTTATCTTGTTTCAGTAAAATTACCTTCTTGCCTACGGTTTGAGGATGTGGTTGCATAGCTCTCATAGAATTTAGCAATAGACATGAAGCATGCTGTATATATCAGGGGCAGCATTAATAAGTTGACGGATGCGATGTATTATGAATTAATACCACACAATCGTAAAAAAGCTCAAAATTAGAAATTTTTTAACCGAAGGAAAACCTTCCTTTAAGAATAAAATTTAACGAAGACGTAATTTTCTATCAAATAAGTACAATAGAGGATTTTTTCGCGCATGCTTTCCATAAAATATATTTGAATTTATAAAGGCAGTCACAAACAATGATAAAATTAGCCATTTTTTTACGGAATAAACTTTTTCTCAGCGGCCAGAAAGAAGCTTATCACAGAGTCGGCATCCAAGCGTGACTGTAAATAATTCGCATTGGACTACGTGATAAACAGTATTGTAACCCTCCCCAATTTTAGTTTGCGTGTGATTACCGGTCTTTTTCAAATTGCGGAATGTTTCTTGCCGCACTCGCCATACTGCAGGTCTGCAGTCGGTATGCTACTGCATATCTTTAAATACTGCAACTCCCTGTGTCCGGACTACCAGTTTGTGCTACTGCTACTACTTTCTCTGATGACGATTTTAATCTGGGATCCGAAACGTCAGGCGAAGAAACGTCTTGTCCTGGCGATCGCGTCTACTTCTTTTTAATTACCTCCTGCGACTCGCAGTTTCGTTTATATCGGCATATCAAAGTATCCATTGGGATAAACCTATTACGTAGGTTTTGGAAGCACAATGGCAGCATTATATCCGCATGTCAAAAATAACTGGTGACAGTTTGTTAATTTTGTTAGGTTTTTGAAAAAAAATTTACGGTCCTCTCTTCTTAAAATTTAAAAAGTTGCACTTCTGGGACAAATAAAGGCTCACACGGACATGTCACACTTTATTGTCCTGTTAACCTTTTGTGACCTGTATAGGGTTCTGTGGAAATTGGTTTTTTTAAATTTATTTCCGGCACGAATGGACTAATGCAGCGCAAAACAAAGTAGTATTCTTATTCCTTTGAGGAAATGTCGTCCTTGTGATCCAGTCTTCCCTTTCAGCCAGCCACTCCATGTCGTCTGTGATTAGAAATTTTAAAAGTGGCCTCAGAAGAAGATTCGAACGCTGGGACAACACTTTTATCCGGCTGACGTTTCGACATTCGATGCGGATTCTTTATCAGAGACATCAACCGAAAGCAGACACAGAAACGGGTAACACATGCACAGAAAGTTTCAATATTTATAGGGCAGAATCATTACTGCACACTTATGACATAAAAACGACAATTGAAGATGTTTGCCCTCTTGTTCGTTGATTGCTTGATTACTGGCGTGCGGGCCCTCACTTGCTGAACATTCATCACGCGTAGCAGAGTTGGACGTGATGACTGCTCCGCGGTGTTGGCGTAAGACGACGCGGTGGCCTGTGCGTTCCCCAATTGGTTACTTGCTTTGGTCAAATTGAGCCTCAGCACCAAATATGGATTGAGCAAGTCATTGCTCCCTAAGGCACATATGCTCATTTGTATTGGCAATTGTCTGAGACATCCTTTGGTCTAAGGGTGGGGCACGAA